GGTCACCAGGAATAAGACCTGGGTTCTGGCAAGCCAGGCTGGCTGGCCACCTGAGGCCAGGGAAGCCCTTCCTTTACAGCCTTGTCCCCAAGGAGGGCAAATTATGAAGTACTCAGGTCCCCCAGGGTGGGAGCAACTTGAAGAGGACCTCTTCTTGTGCCGGGGTCACTAAAACATGTCCACTGCCTCCTGTTCACGAAGAGCTTAGGAGCTGGGCACCCAGAGAGGTGAGGGCCAGTATTACTTTTGTTTTATAAAGTGGGAAAGTTGAGAGTACCTCACTGGATCCTGCCAAGGTCACCTGCTTGGGTCAGGGAGGGGGAGAGCTGGACATAAATCAGGCTCCACAACCCTTGCTGTCAGCATTGTGCTGTGGTGCTGTCTCCAGCCCCAGGGATGAGCTCCTGACCCCCCCCCCCAACCTTGTTCCATCCCAGGAGGAACTAGGAACAATGGACTGGGGGTGGGTAGGGCAGGTGGGTTAGACGTCTCTTAGGGACCCCTTCCTGGGAGGAAACCACATCCTCTATACGCTCAGGCAAATCTGGCATCCAAAGTGGAAAAAACCCACATAAATCAAGGACATCTGGGCCAGCCCTTGGCTGCAGCCCCCTCCCCTTGGAATTCCAGCAGGCTCTGGGAGTGGGTCTGGGGGGTGAGGGTGTGGTTCTAGGGGAGGCAGTTCCTGGAAGCCCCTCAAGTGTGAAATCCCTCCCAGCTGTCCGCCATGGAGGGGGTTATTAATTACTTTCCAGAAGGGCACAGCTTCTTCACATCCAGCCTGACTGCCTGGGGGTGCCCATCTTGGGAACAGGCTGGTAAGCACGTAGAGAGGGACATGGGAGAGGAGCTTACACAGAGACTCTCTCTCTCTCTCTCTCTCTCTCTCACACACACACACACACACACACAGTAGCTCAGTCACTCAGCAAACACCCACAAACACTCATTGTGGTTAGGTGTGGAGAAGGGATCAAGACTGACCCTTTCCCTGACCTTGCAGAGCTCATGGGTAGGTGGAGGAAGCAGATGGGGATCAAAATCACCCACAAAGAAATAATTATAGTCTGTAAAGGGGATACATAGCTGGGCAGCTGGGTCATGGATTTGTGGGGCCAGGCTGGGCCTTCCTCCCGCCATGACCTTGCTCCCCAGGATTGCCTCCCTAGACTTGCCCTCTCTGTCCCCCTCTGCTCTGGTCCTCTTTGTCATCTCCCCCAGGGATGATGTTTACTTGGCACAGTGGCCTGAGCAGTTCAGTGCACCCTCTCCCAAATTTTCCCTGCTCCTGGCCAATAGGCCACCACATCGAACCTGATTATATGCATGTCTGATGGCTGTCCTAAGGACGAGGGACAGATGGTCCTCTTCCTGACTATCCTGTGCGGGCAGGGGGTCCAGATGAAGGGAGAGGGGAATTGATCTCCGGCCATCCTGGACCCTCAAAACCAAGCGCCCCTGGGGAGATCCCATTGGGCAGAAGGGACTTGTGAACACGTTTCCTGCTCTGATCAAACAGGGCAAGATGTGAGTGACCTTCTTAGGATGCCCTCATGGCCTGGTCTCTTTTGGGTCCCCAAAGTCACTTTTCATCATGTGACTCAGAACATATGTGACTCAGAACTGTCCCTAGGTCGCTTGGGAGGGAGCCAACAGGGAGCTAGGGCTGGACCCCGATGGCACAAGAGGGCAGAGGCAGAGTGGAGGAGCCACTCACGCAGCCTGGGGAGGTGGAAGGCAGCAACCTTGCGCATGAGGAGTGTGAAGAGGCAGTTTCTGAAATTCCCAAGTTTAACCTTCAAAAAGACTCTTCATAGAAGGCTAAACACAGAATTACTGTCTGACCCAGCAATTCCACTCCTAGGTATATACCCAAGAAAAATGATACAGATGTTCACATGTTACAAGTCACGTGAGGACCTGTAAATGAATGTTCACAGCAGCTCTATTCACAATAACCAAAAGGTGGAAACAACCCAAGCGTCCATCAGCTGATGAGCCATGGACAGAATGTGGCTCGTCCATACAGGGGCATGTTGGCCATAAAAAGGATCGGAGCCTTGACACGTGCTGCAGTGTAGACGAACCTCAAAAATACCACACTGTGTGAAAGAAGCCAGGCACAGAAGGCCACGTTTATGATTCCTCTGATGCGAAGTGGGGAGAACAGGCAAATTCATAGAAACAGAAAGTAGATTAGTGGTTGCTGGGGGCTGGGGAGGGGAGAAAGGGAAGTGACTGCTAATGGATATGAAACTTCTCTTTAGAGAAGTTATGAATTTGCCCTAAAACTGATTGTGGTGATGGGCGCACAACATCGTGAATATACTGAAAACCTCCGAATTCTACTCATTACGTGGCTGAATTGCGTGGTGTGGGAAGCTTGTTACTTCAGAGTCAGGACTGAGGTGTTCATCTTACAAAGAGGAACTGGAGGCTCGGGGAGGCAGGAGCCTGAGGCCAAGTGCTAGAGGAAGGGGGGCTAGGACCAGCCTCAGGCTGGACTCTGAGGGCTGCTCCCTCTCACACAAGGATGGGCCTCAGACTCTACCCCAGTCCTACCCCCTCCTCTACTGATGAGCCTTTCCCTACAACTCGGATGCTGTCCTGCTCCTAGCTTGATTGTCACTTCCTCCAGAAGGCTTCCTTTCCTCTCCATTCACATCCTTCCACCAGCGGTCATTATTGAGTGCCTGTTGGGACCCAGGCTCTGTTAGGTGCTGGGGCAACACTGTGAACGAACGTCCCAAGGCTGTGATTCTGGGTGTCACCACATTTGTACCCACCCCTCCTTCACCTGAGAGATATATGGTGGGTGGAGGGAGGCGATTAGCTGCCAAACTCTCCAAGCCAAGACTGCTTGTCCCTGGACATCACCCCCTTGCCCCCCAGTGCATTCAGTGTCCTATTCTTGGTAAATTCCTTCTGAAACAGTTTCTAGCAGGTGTGTGTGTGTGTGGGGGGGAGGTGTGCTAAGGAAAAGACATTCTCAGCAAGGGGAACAGTATGAACAAAGGCTAGAAGGTGGAAACAACTGTGCCTGTGTTGAGGCAGGAAGGTGGAGGGGCCACCAGGTTTTAATGCTGGTATTTGGAGCCCTGAGTGGTGGCTTCTGGGATTGTAGATGGGCGCTGCAGGTGGAGCAGGACCCTACCAGGATAGCTCTAAGAAGAACCAGTCTGCCTAGAACAAATCCCCTTTTAAGCTAGACCAGAAGAAGAATGTCCTTTGACCCTGCGTGTGCTAGCATGCACCCCAGACACTACTGTGCCAACAACCCACCTACGGGGCTCCTGGCTGAGCCTTGCCCTGACAAGCAGGTGCATGCCTGGCATCTGGGACCTGAGCTGGGGCCCCAGTCAATGGTCTTCACCCATTGGCTCTGCATAGTCCCCTCTGGATAGGGAGCTCTGGAAATATTTATGGGTCACAGAGGCCCCCCCTGCCCCTCAGAGGTGCCCCAGGCAGCTGAGACTTGCCCAGATGCCATCAGGCCCAGATGCCACTAATGAGCAAAACCCAGGGCAGAGACCTCTGGGTATTGGCTGGAGAGGCTGGCCGACCACCTTGCCAGGAAGGCTGGGCTGGGGCAGGGGTGGAGAAAGGACAGGGGTCCATGTCCATCTCTACCTGGGACTGTTGCTCAGTTCTCAGAGCCCGATTCTCTTCTCTGCCTTCCTTTTCTGTGCCGTCCTGGGGGTTCAGTGAACTTAGGGGAGCATAAAACTCCTGCAGAGTGTCCAGCACACAGCAGGTCCCATAACTATGAGTAACCGCTGAACCTCACTGCCCCTCAGAGGGAGCTCCTAGGACAGCACCTGGGTTCTTCCTCCTAGTTCCCCCAGAACAGGTCTCCTGAGTCTTTCAGACCTCCAATAGGAGCCACTTTGCCAGCATCAGAGATGGGTCGCTGACACCCCAGGGAACACCAGGTGGGCTAGGCTACATAGACAGACGATGTGGCACTGTAGGAGGATCAGGAGACTGAAGTTTGCATTTCACTGCGCCCTTGGGCAAGACATCTGTCCTCGCTGAACCCGTCTCCCTTACTCTAAAATGGCAATCATACTTGGCTAGCGCTCTCCAGCCACCAGGACTGTGAATCTGATGAATGGCAAACCGACTGTCAGCGAGGCGCGCCCCATTCCTGCTGCAGGTTTCCCCGGGAATCCCTCTGCGCACTAGGGCTCAGGTCTACGAGCCTCCGTGGCTCACTTGCTCGGCCCGCGCACCTGCTGCGCCAACCTGGTGGGCGAGGGGCGGGATCGTCGCTCTAAGACCTAGTGCTGGGGCCCACGGTGCTGCTCTGTCACTGCCCTGCCCTGCCTCTGCCCCATCCCGGGGCGCAAGGGTGAAGACCCGGAGCGGAGAGATCTGGAGCCCACGGTCTCCCGGGGGGAGCGTCCAGGTATTCTCTGAGGCTCCCAGTCACTCCGCAGCATCTGTGGGTGCGGGCCTGGACCCTGTGGGGCAGTGGCCTAGGAAGGCGGGGCCTCCGCTCTGGGCGGG